TAGTAGAGAGAGAGAGAGAGAGGAGAGAGAGAGAGAGTTGGAAGAGAAATTCCAAAACGGAAAGAAGGTGGGAAGAAGAAGGGAAGGAGGAAGGGGGAAGGTTAATCGAATCTTTGATCGCGGGGAGCAAATCGTTTGGCGAGCTTAAAGGGCCCGGTGAAATGAACGGAATGACATTTAAACGTGGTCGAGTTCCACCCGGAATCCGGCATGATCGGAGGTAGCCTGCCAGAAAACGAATCATATTTCACGGTTGGAGCGGCGAGAGACGCGACGGGTCCATCGGAGCGCGGAAGGAGGGACGCAGATGTCCGTGAAAAGGTAACGAAGGAAGCGACAGTTTTGATAATCGGTGTGCGTGCCCCGTATAATGCCGACAAGGGGCGTAGGCCGGGATCGGCCGCTCGAGATGCGATAAGACGTTTCTGCTTCTACCCGGCCTCATCGTCTCGTCTCGATCGCGTCTTATCCCCGCACGGATCTCGACTCTATCCGCGCACGCCAACCGCTCTCCCTCCTTCCCCCCGTTTTCCACGCCAAACCTCTCCACCTCCCTCCTCGATTTCGAAAAATATTTCCTCCCTTCCTTTTCGAAAATCTAAAATTTTCCTCGGCGGATGGATCTTTTCGGAGACGAAATTTTTGGACGATGCTCGCATGCACGAGGATGACGTCGATCGGAGGAGAAGAGGAGAGAAGAGGAGCATTCCACATCCACACCACCCCCCCCCCACCCCCCTCCTCCCTCCTTTCCTACCCCCTCAACCTTCGCCGTTCGCTTCGAGTTTGCGTGCCAGTCACCATTGCCAAGTAATTTCTTGCACGCAATTGCCCGCTACTGGAATTGCCTGGTAGGCGACCTCAGTCCGTCAGTCATTTACTTTTTAAATCGAGCCTGCCTGCCTACCTGCCTGCCTACCTACCTACCTACCTCTACCTTTACCTGCCCGGCTGACTGGCTGGCTGACTGGCTGGCTGCCTGGTTGACGGACTGCCGGCCTCTCCGACACACCACGTAACCGCTCCTCGATATTTCTATATGTATATATACATAGATACGCAGTTTCATGCCACGCAGAATTTCCCAACGGATCCGTGAGTCGATCCGTTGCGATAAGCATCTTCTCTTTCACGAGAGAAAGAGAGAGAGAGAGAGAGACGTTTCGCGTCTCCTCTCGGCCGAAAATTATTCGAACGATCCCGAATAATACCGGTTCCATCGTTTCCAAATCCTCTCTCTCGAGAGAGAGAGAGAGAACGTTCTCACCGACTTCGAAATAGTTCCCTTCCTAGGCAACCCCCTCGATCAATTACGCGTTATTAATTTTTCGGTTCGCGCCTAAAACGAGGAACAAATGCCGTTACGTGTTATAAAGCGGTTAACAATCGTTGTACCCGCGAATCGAACGGGTTTAGCTTCGAATATAATTGTAAGGTTGAGCGTTCGTGCGGCGACCGGGAGCGAGCCTTGTCCAGGAACAGGGAAGCGACGAGAAACAAGGCTTAATCGTATCTTAATCGTCTCTCGTTATTCGCCTTTCCAGCAAGCGTGCCGTGTTTCGTTCGTGGGAACGAAATCTCGTCCGCGCGGAAATTTTCACGAACGCCTTCCTTCCATTACAATTCCGATTGTCGAACGTGCGAGGCGGCGACCCGCCACGCTCGGGGTTTTATTTTTCGAACCAGCGAATCATCGATCATCCGCGCCCCAAATATTCCGCGCCCGTGCACACAGGGAATCGCGGATGAAATCCGTACGTTGTTGAGAAATCGACGGGACATGGGAAGCATCGTTTAAGCGCGCGTCTACACACACACACACACACGCACACCCTCTTGGGGAAAATTCAACCCCCTGGCTGAATACGCGATAATCGAGATCGTTTTTCCGATTGACTCGCCTTTTCTTAAATCTCCTAAACTGGTGTGATCGAAATCAATTCGATTGAAACTAATTGGAATTGATAGAGGAAAAATAAAATAGGAAGTATTCGCGCAACGATCCTCCTCGGTTTATCGAGCAGCGAGCGTTGGCTGCAAACGTGTTATGCAACGAGATTGTCGCGGGCTTGACGCTATTTTACGCACATTTAAAAAATAATCGTGAAAAACGAATCTCAATCCACGTCTATCCCAATTACAACGTGTTGCGATTAATCTCCTCGATGAGCAGGGAATCGAGAAGGATGGGTGTCGAAGAGGAAGAAGGATCGCGATTCTCTGACGAGACACGCAGTGATCGCCGTGCGAAGAAATTTCTCCGGTTAATTAATCGGCGGGAAGAAGTTGTGCGGTGAACGGAATGGGTGAAAGATCGGGAACGGTTTGGTATTGGCTCGGTTGGAAGCGTGCGATAAGGAGAAAAATTGGTAGCGCGACACAACGCTCCGCTCGGCTAACCATTTGTCACGGTTTAACGTCTCCGCGAGCCAGCCTCTTATCGCGCGACGCGACGACCATTTTATTACTTTTGCTGCGAACACGGGATGGCGCCACCAACTGTTGTTCCAATTGTATAAGAAAGTCGCTCGGGGAATACCGTGACTTTTCACGGGTTGGGGAAAAGGCGAACGTGGATTAAATAGCGATCACTCTATATTTTCTTATTTTTCTATTTACTTCTGTTATTGATACTACGTGAAAAAATTACATGGATAGGAAAGGTTATCATCCGTGAACGAACATTAGATATCATTTTTCTACTATCTGAAATGTCGGATATAATTTTATTACGCAACTGCGTGAATGCAAAGTTTATTATCGATAAAAAAATAAATCGACCCAAAAAATATATATTTGATACGATCTCTCTTAAACTACGATTACTTTGTTTTCGTTTTCTTATAAACTTTAAGGCTAGTTTTTATTTTCGTTTCGATCTGAAAAATATTGCACGCGCAAATCACGCTCGCTGATGTTTCGTTAATCCCGATAAGGCTTATCGAGATGAAAATAAAAACAAGTCCAAGTTAAATAGGAGATCGAAATTTGGTCGATAGTTAGTCATTGAAAAATTAGTTAGTAGTTGGTCGATAATTGGTCGCCGAGAGATAGTTGGTCGCCATTTCTTTCTATCTTTTCTCCGTGATAAAAAACGACGATCGAAGGATCAAGATTACGCGTGATTCGATTCGTATAACTTCCCAGAAACGATGAGCTCCTGGAATAGAGTGTTCGCGTTGCTTTTGATCCATATGCTTCTCGTCAGCTCTTTGGCCTTTCCTTGGAACTTCGATATCGCTCAAACTCCAATGAACAATACTGCATTAAATTCTAATGAGAAACACGGTAAAAATAGACACGAGACAGTAATAAATCCAATTTGCGAATCAGGGACACGACGAAATTACGTTAACGTATGTAAAGAAATCGAGAGGAATGATAACAAAACGATCTATTTTTTGTAACGTAGATAATATCAAGAATATCGCGCGATAACAGTTTTTACTGCGTGTTACTCAATGTACTGATAAGATACATCGTGCTTTTTCCACGTTCGAGCCGAAATCCATCATCGAGTTGAAAGAGATCTTCTCACGATTCTTCTTGGAAACGCGAGTATCCATGAATTATCGGTGAAGAATTATAAAAAAATTCTCAACCATTGCGGCCGAGTGTCGATTCCTCGCAATACTTTGCGATTAATCATTTTGCAAGAGTCTCTGATAACTGTTTGCGCGCGCGAAAGATCGTTTCGATCGCAATTGGAAACGTGACAGTTCTTTCTTCCGTGCGAAATAAATTTGACGAGGAAGTTCGTTCGTGGAGAGAGATTTCGCGTTGATCATGAAATTGTGGTGGATCGTGACAGTGTTCGTCTCGTTTCTGTCCTTTTGCGCGACACGGGTCGTTGCTTTGCCATCCGGAACCGTCGCAGAGACTTCGATGAACGTTTCGTCGGACGCGAAATCGTCGAACGAATTCGAGAAGAAATTCGTGTCGTTCGACGCAAAGAGCAACAACACTAAGAATCTTCAGAAGGGGGCCTTCATCAACGTGCCGGTCAATTGTCCATGGGACAAAGTGAAGGTCGGGAATCGCTGTAGGGCTTTCTTTTAAGTAAGTAAGTAAATAAGTTGAAATTCTATCTCATCTTATCGAATACACGCGTATTCAACGAAAACGCGCAGAGAGAAATTATCCGTTAATTAGATAATTATATCAGAGTGTGTCATCGTAGGATCGATATTCGTTTTTTCTTTTGTAATTGTAACGGAGAGAGAGAGAGAGAAAAGGAATAAGAATGGGAGGACCGATAATAATCGTCAAACGATTACAGACGATTGTTCTTTCGAAGAGATGGAAATCGTTCACGAATTAACGAGGCAATGATAAGTATATACCGTAATTTTTTCTCATTTCTGTTCGAGCTGTTGATTGTTGACGGACGCGTCATTTCGCGTAATAATGATCATAGCCGCGCCGTTCAATGTCGAGACTTGCAATCAATTTTACGCAACCTGACGATAGACCATCGTTTAACTATTACCCTTCTGCTTCTACAGGATTCTTCTTCTTTCTTGAGCGTGAAGTCGATAAACGACAAGAATGCGAGCGTCATCTAACGAGTTATAATACGAATTCGAGTGCAATTCTGAATGAAACGAAGAGGAATAAGGGAAAGATCAAGAAGAATTTTTATTATATATACTCAAAGAAATGTTGAACACATAAAGATAAATCTCGGTCTTTTGAAAAATGAGATTATTAACGAAGGCGAGGTATAGAATAGAATTTAACATTTAATATATTTTTTTTTTATTCTCTAAATGCTTGTACTTTTTTCAATCAAAGATTAAGACGCATCGTAATTTTCAAAGAAAAATGATGAAATACGCGCATATTCCGTATGTACTCGTCTCTGGTCACGCGGCAAGAACAAGTACAGAGAAGGAGAGCAAACAATGGGAGAAGGATAGAGATAAAGGGATAAAAATATGGGAATCAGCGCCATCTCTAGAGTGTCGGAAATGAAACATAATAGGGAAGGATAGAGATAGAGTAAGAATTGAGAACTAGCTCCATCTTTTGAATATTTTCGGATAGATGTCTTTAACGCTGAACAGATGGCGCTGTCCTCCAATTCTTATTCTGCTATATCCTACCTTAGATTAATGTCTTTGATATTCGAGAGATGGCGTTGACGGCCAATTCTTCTTCTACCTCTATCCTCCTCCTACTATTTTCTGTCCTTTCTTTCTACGTTTCATTTACGGCACTCTGAAGATGGCGCTGATTCCACCATTTTCATCCTATCTCTGTCTTTCTTCTATTATCTGCTTTCCTCGTTTATATTTGCTCTACAAAATTTAATTAATGCGCACAAGAAACGAGTCAAATATCGGAAAATCGTAAGTTGGCAAAAAAAAAAGAAAACATTTCCAACTTGAATATAACTTTAATGATAAAATGTTTTCATTTTTTATCAAATTTTCATGGAATCGATAGTCTATGATTGTAAACCACATTATTTTCACAATCGAACGTGAAAATGAAGCATTTGTATCGTTAAGATATATTGGAATTTGGCTTATACGTATAAAAATAAATAAGTTGCATTTGCAAGACAAATGCATTGTCATTTTCTGCTACCAGAAAAACTTATTATACTTTTTTTATAAATCTTCAACCGAATTACGAATAATTTTAAAGTTTTAAATGTAATATTATTATAATTTTCTCTACAAAATTTATAACAAAAAGTATTTATCAATACAGATTATAATCAAAACTTATCACGATGTGTTTTTTTATTATTTGACGATTCCTTTGCTAATCAAATTATTAAAGGCAAATAAATTCATTAATAAATGTAATAACGCAACGCGAATATTATTACCTGCAAAAAAAGATTCGTTACACGCCAATGATTACTTTAGTATGATATCTCGAAAATATCGTGCATAATTATCGAATGCAAACCGCATTATAAGCGATCAGGATACGAATTGTAACCGCAAATTAGTGCGAATAATGCGTAAAAAAAAAAGGAAGGAGGGAATCACGGTAAAAGTAATATATTGCACGCATTTCTCATTGCCCTCTATGTCAGTCTTCAAACTGTTGCCTTCACGATAACTCGGTGTAAAACGATAAAATTTAACCAGGAATAATCTATCAAAATCATTCGTAATTTACGTGTGACGCGATGGCGCCGTTACGTTTCATTTTATTCGTCTTGTTTTTGTGCATTTTCATCACCACGAACGAATCCAGACCTCTGACATTTCCACAAAGGAAGAATACGAGCGTAAAGAAATGTCCACCAGGATACAAATACATTCGCAACGTGGGCTGCAGGAAACTCATATTCGGTCAAACGTAAAGAACGGTAAAAAACTGTTAAAGAAAAAGAAAAAAAAAAAAAACTTCCTTTTACGTCGCTTTCAACAATTTTTCAACATTTATATTTTCATTCTGTTGCAGTAAAATCCGAATAGATAAGAAACTTCTGCAAAGTTCTGAAATAACTAATAATAAATTGTCCAAAGCATGAGAAATCTAATCTAAAAGCATATTCTTTATTCGGACATTGTAAGGTGTGAATCTAATTTGTGCATTTATAATTTAAAACAGATAATTGAAATAAATCGCAATTTATCGATTTAAAAAGTTTATGCTTGTTTTACTTTTCCCTTTTTGTCTTTTAACCTAACAATCGTTGCTCGTTAATCGTAATATACGAAATAATGTCATGCGATCACATTTACGTTCAAACTCCCCGCGAATTCGAGGCGAGAGGCGCGCGAGTATCGATGTATCGCGATTCATCTTCTCGCATCGGTGAGAAAATGGCTGCTCCTTTGGTTAGGATAGGAAAAACAAATTTTCCTCGGCGAAAGTATTGAATTACACGTTGCGCGTGTTAAAATCGAAGCATTCCGATCATGATTTTTAGAAAAAAAATGAAAATTTATCATTAAATTCGATTGCGAGAATATATCGTTAAGATAACCTATTTCTCGCCCTGGATGCGCAATTGAACGAATACAAAAGATACAAGAATTTTCGTTATAACAAAAAAAAAAGTTGCAGAGGGAGAGAGAGAGGGAGAGAGAAATAAAGATTAGAATTGGAAAGGAAGAAAGAAGATTCGACGACGAAAAGGTGTTTACCCACGTTGACCACAGCATGCGTTGCTGCACATTATCCTCGTCAAACGAGTTTACCTTGCGGATTGTTACGTTATGAAGGGCGATCAGCTCGATCTAGAATGCAAATTTAAAACTACTACGCCCACGCTTCAACTCCCCCAGTAATCACGAAAAATTTGAGCTAGTAACCCGCATACCAACGAACGGATTCACCGAACGGTATCACAGAATCGTACACTTACGTTGCGCAATAAAGTCTCTTATCATCGATCATAATGATACTGTGCTGTGAGACGGGCGAATATATAAAAAAAAAAGAAAAAAAGAAAAAAAGAAAATCATTTTTTTCCGCCACGAAGAGAGATAATACCGCCCATTTATTGACACTTGGCGATAAAGATCGGTGGTGACAAAATGAAAATGACACTGTTATCGGTGTGTTAGAAACGAACCCGCGCGTACGATTCACGATCGTACGTGTACCGGTGCGCTTGCGCGCATGTGTGCGGCCAGAAATACGCGCCGAGACGTATTCGCTTGGGCAGTCGATCGCGGCGCGAGCACGGTCGAACCTGCTCAGGTGCGACTTTCCTTCCGTTTTCCTCGTGCATCGAGCGGCGAGTATACAAAGATCGGGACGAGAGTCGAGTCTCTTCTCGATAAACGCAATAATTGCATAAATTCCGCAAATTTGCCGCCACACCCGAGCGTGTTTACCCGAGCGTGGTGATCGTCTGGCCACGTGTTACGTGTGTCCAAGTGGCAACAACGAGAACAACAACAGTGGTGAAATACTTTACTACGATAGAACTCGACTCGACTCGAGTTCTGACGTTTTGACGTTTCGGCCACGACGCACGCAGGCATGCACGCGTACACGATCCACAAATGTAGAACGTTTCTCCTCGCGATTTGTTCGTTCTCGATTTGCGGGCTGGTGATGGCTCAACTGGACACCGGATACCCTGACCAAAGGATAGTGTTCCCCGGCGATCCGAGGGCGAAGGAAACGGCGAATCCTGGGGAGGATGGATCGAGTGCAAGAGGCGAATTGTTGGTAAATCGATCGCATCTTTTTCATCCGAATACGCGTATTATTTCGCGAATGGTACAAGTGTCTGGTTAGCTCGCAGAGCCGCGTTGCAACACTCCCACGTTTTCACTCTGATAAATAGCGCAATTATGTTATCCCCGCGGAGCATTGTTCGTACGAGAGCGTACGTACGTGACGCGGTAAAAATTTAAGGAAAAATTAAATTCGATCGTGTCGCGTGCAAAAAAAGAAAAAAAGAGAGAAAAGATATCTTTACAACTCTCGCATCGCTGACTTTATTATCTTTTTATTTTTATTTTTATCTTTATTTTTTTCAGTTTTTTTTTTTTTATTTTTCCTTTACATTAACGTTACGTTCATTTATTTCGTTCGCCGTTCCTATCGCTCGTTCGCAATGTAAAATTTGATATTCGTTAATAGGCGATTTTCGCGAATTTATCGTGAATAGAAAAAAAAAAAAAAATTAACGGCGTTTGTCCGCAGCAAATTATGCGGAAATCCGTCTCGATTTTGTCACACTGTGGCCCCTTTTTTTTTCTATTATCGTCACCGGTGTTAACGTGAGCGATAAACGGAAACGTGGCTGTAATTCCTTTCGACTATGATTGACGATTACGAGATCCTGTGCGGGAATGGGAGTATCGAGATCGTTTTTTCCCCGCAACAGATCCGAAGGTCGTGGTAAATGGCCACTAATGTCAAGGATGTGTTGGCGGCAGGAGAGATCGAGACAGAAAAGTGAAAACCTCGCGGTGCACGACACGACACACTTAGGATTCTTGTCGCAATACCCGTGATTCGTTATGTGGATAATTGATTACCTACTCCGCTCGAATACCTACTCGATTACTTGGTGAATTCTTTTCCTCTCTTTTTTTCTATAATTTTATCAAAACGATTCATCAATTTTTATCGATTGTACGAACAAAATATACGATTTATCTACTTATTATTTATCCTATCCCGACTCGTGACGAGAAGTAAAAGAGAAATTGAGGTTACGATTAGGAAACGGCGCGCGCAAACCGCGTTATCGTTGCAACCAATCCTTTCGGCGCGGATAAAACACGGATAAACATTATTTCGCGAAGATAATATTTGTTTGGTCACTGATTGTGTGCGAGCATATTTCATTGCCACAATAGGGTTATACGATCGAGCGGGAACAGACGACCTTACAATGTCGTCGCCGATTAAATTCCTTCGAAGAGGACGTTGTTGGAAAGTACAATGTCTCGGGACATCGCGTTTCTCATTTATGCAAATTGTGCAACGTGCGTAATATGTTTATTAAAATGCTCGCCGTACCGTTATCGATTCACACCGCGCATGTGTCCACAAGTATTTCACCTGGTATACGATATATATATAAAGAACTCGTCGATACGGAACGATTAATATCGCTCAAAATATCGTCGATGAAATCTATGACTGATGGCCACGCTGAAATCATCGCTGAAACGAAAGGGGAAAACGGCGCCTATCGAGAACTGAAGCTGAACCGAAGATGCTTCTTGGAAATCGGTTCAGCGTTTGCTGATTTTTCAATGTGCACGCGATACCAGCTTGTTTAAAACCTGTTCCAGGTAAAATGGTGAACGTGTCGAAGAGGTCGAAGAACGCATCGAGTAATACGTATATATGCATACATATGTTCGTGTTGAACGTTTTCGTGCGATTCGGCTTTAAAGATATTTTTTTAACAACGCATTTCAATATTCGTGAAAGTATCGATGATTGACTTAAGATCCTGTGATTATTGCTCACGAGAATATCCGTGATCGAAATCGATGATTCATTGATAAGATATTACCGGAAATACCCCGATAATTACGTCTAAAATTTTTCTATTAATTTTTTTTTTCAATTATCCTAACTTGTTTTCTTTAATTAATCAATTGATAAAGTGAAATAACGTCACAACATCGAAATAAAAAGATCTTGACGTATTTTTTTTTTTTTTAGAATAATGCTTAATATCCAATTAGTTTTTCTTTCATTTCGCATCCCTTGATATGCATGACAATGCGTTGGAAATTCCAAGTAAAAAAAAAAAAAGGAAGGAGAATTGGTTAATGTGTTTTTTTAAAAATTGTTTCCGTTTAACGATCACGTAGGTATACAATAACGATATCATACCTGCAGATACGATAATTATTATTTTTTTTTTTTTNTTTTTTTTTTTTTTTTTTAATTGGAAACATTCCCATTTTTATTATCGACTTTATTATCAATCGAACCATTGGCTAATCGAGATATCAAACGAAAATAATCAGATAATTTTGCGACACAGAGGAAAATGAAAAAATTTTCCACCCGATTCCTGCGTTTCCTTTATCCAAAATTCATGTTATTTTCAGAAATCGCTACAATTAGCCAAGAAAATCAATTCCATCAATTCGATCGACGATTTCCTTAGATTAGTGAAAGGTTTGCCGCAGGATGTATCTTTCTTCTCTCCAAGCAGTAAGTATGATCTTAAATAACTTATTAACAGGAATTATGGATCTATAGGAAGGAATAGTACGTAAGAAAAACCGGTTGACTCGTGACATTGCGAAAAAGAATATATTGTTACACGACCTTGTAAATTGCACTTTATTCGGATTAAAAGAAAACAAAAATGACAAAACTGTGCTTAAAAAAACAAAAAGAAAAAAAAAAAAAAAAAGAAAACCAGCCGTAACTCGAAGCGTACAGTAAGTGCAATTGACTTCGTAAATCTTTGAATGTTTGAAGAACAAATTATTACGGGTATTAAATCAATTGTAATAGATGCAAATATTGTTCGGTTGGATAAACATCTTAAAGTTTGTAATATCTTCTACCAATTTTATTGTTCACACTTGATTATCAGTGAACGTGAGATCATTCGGTTGACCGCAGCGTAAAAAATATACTTAACATAAGTATTTCGTAAATTTAAAAATCCGCGCGAGTAACGTTACAGAGCCTCGTTATTAAACAAAAATTTGATTCGAAAAAAATTTTTAAATAAAGAAGAAATTGAAGAAAAAAAAAAAAAACGTGATTTTCGCATGAATTTTTCAGAAAAATATGAAAAATGAAAATAATTTTCTTGGAATTTCTCTTCGAGCGTCCCTATCTCTATTATTAGCTTTTCAAAAATTGTATTTTGTTCAAATTCTTGCAAAGCTCGTTCTCGCTATCCTCGTATATTATCAGATGAATCTGATAATTATATAGAAACATTTTCTTTTTCTTATCGTCGCAACAATTATTCGCGTTGACCCCTGGTTTGTCAAAGACCAGCTTGTTTTCCACGTAATAAGGATTAAACAACTTGCAGGGTTCTTTTTCCATATTTTTTATGAAATCTTTGAGATCTTCGAAGAAATCGGTGTTCTTCAAAAAGCCACCGAAATTGCCCGTATTCGGCACTAATCTATCGCTAATTTGATTGATTTCCTCCAAGGTGGGCAATCTGATTGTAGAGTGTCCAAATCGTACCCTATCGTTTCCCGTATTTCTTTTATTCGATGATAATTTCAGAGTTGGGTGTTCAGTGCTATATGCAATTTGTAATTTGCACGGTCGTCTCCAAGTGTGCACACTAGACATAGGCACGGAATACGCATTGCAAATATCTATGGTACGATTAAACAAAATATCTGTTATATTCATTGTGCTGTTCAATCTAGTTATTCCTAAATTCGAAAAATTAAAATTCGAATCATACAAAAGATTGTGAAGAAGATTTAAAAGGGAATTGAAAGAATGTATTTCTTGCCTCGTTTCCAGTATCTCCGCGAGAATTCCATTTCGCCGTAAGCCTCTATGTATTTAGGTGTGCTCAAACCAACGACAACGTTTTCATCTCCTGGACCATTCTCTCTCTTGATAGCTTTGATAGTTGGTGCCATTTCCTCTTCCAATTTTATCCTATTAATGCTCTCCTCGATCTCTTCTGTGTTGGACGTCGAGATCTCGAGCTTAAAAAGATTGAAAAGATCACTCTCGCTCAAATCGTAAGACGCGTCATTCATTGCGCTGATTTCCTTCGCATCGATTTCATTTTGATTAACATTGGCTACGACGTCACAATTCGATGACGTTTCCACTTCTCGATGGAACGACTCGTCCCTCGCCTCGTTGTTATCATCGATCAAATTTCTTTTCACAAATTCTTGATGATTTTGACGGCAATACGATCGAAACTTGAAAAGTCTACGTGAAAAATCTAACGTTAACGTTCTTTTCTCCTCGTTCCACGATATTTTTGTATAACTTCGTCTTATATTATCTTACCGTTTCAATTTTTTCTTTTTGTAATTGATGTTAGACGTAGGGACGATGTAGGAATACATATGTCTCGAATCGTGAGATTCCATAAAGGCAGCCACGTTTTTCCTACCTTCGACTATCCATCCAAACCAATCGAGGATCACATCCTCCGAAAGATAATTGTGTATACCGTCGGCGAGACCATCGGCCAAAGCGAAGTAACTATTCGCAACTGAAATTGCTTGTACAAAATTTTCCATTGTTCTCAATTATCTGAAAAAGTAGGATAAACTTATGGCGGAATGTTTCCAAGAAATACTATTTTTTTTTTTCTTACACCAAACCACAAAAACCACATTGAACTAGACGTAATGGGAATTCGAGGAAAAAGAGGGAAATTCTCTGACTAATTCAAGTTGTCACTGAACGGGATCTTCTTCCAGGTAGAATGGGAGAAACTGAACGTTCGAATGCCGAGCGACCAAATCAAGCTTCGTGTATGCCTGAATTACAAACAGTTCCTCTATTAGAAAATGACGATCCATCTATTATTTATTATCCGACTTGTACACGGGTCAAAAGATGCGGAGGTTGTTGTACTCACCCGTTCCTCTCTTGTCAGCCAACGGCTATGGAAACCCGAAATTTCGAGGTAATTCATTCACATCTGATTAAATGTTATCGATATATATATGTTATTCCAACTAATCACGTTATTAATTAATGTTTTAAAGATTTTCGTGACAGCTCTTGAATCCAATAATGGATTAAGGTATCAAGGCAAACGTATTGTACCGATAGAGGAGCACACGCAATGCACGTGTGACTGCAAAATAAAGGAGACGGTAATTTGAGAACAGTCGATAATTGAGATCTTCCTTTTTAAACTGGTATAAGTCGGTTCGCAATCTGCAAATCTTAATGTATAATTTCACTCTTGTGCAACGATGAATTTTTATTGCGATAATTTAATTAGTTTAAATCGAAGGATTTGAATTTTCAACTTTTGAAAATATTTAAATTTTTAAATAATAAACGATATTCTTTCAGGACTGTAACAAGAAACAGTCTTATATACCGGAAGAATGTACATGTGCGTGCAACAATGTCGATGAAAAGAAAAAGTGTAATGAAAGCAACATGAAAATGTGGCATCCAGATCTTTGTAGCTGCTTTTGCAGAGAAGTACGGGAATGTTCAACTGGTTTTTATTTCGACCAAAATTCATGCAGGTGTGAACGGAACGACAAGGACTTCTAATACGGGAATAACATATTTTCTTCCTTGCTGCATTTCTACTATCTTGTATATCTTGTAAGCTGTGCATGATGCGTCCAATCTTTTTTGGATTTTCTTTCTTTCTTTTTTTTTTTTTTTAATTATTTTATTTTTCCGCTTATATCGCAAAAATTAATTAATAATTTTTTTCTAGCTTATTCCCTCTATATTCACTATTGCACTACCAAAATTTCTTCACTAACATTTTTTCTTAAATGCTTTGCCTGCTTTTATATTTTATTCGAGTAACATAATTAAAACAGTTAAAATAATGATACTACTTTCTCATACATGAATTCATGAATGCACATTGTATGTTTATTAATAAAATATAAATTTTCCTCTATGAGAATAACATATTATCTTAAACTCTTAAACACTTAAAAATATTTTAGATGCCTGCAAGTATCACTATCTAGAACTTGGTTTACATCCACAAAAGGTTCTGATTATAGATTCGGACAAACACAAAGACCGGATAATGTACCACCAGTAATAATTGCTCTAGATTCAGATGATCCTAGAAGAAAACCTAAACCAGATCCAGAATAAGAATCAGATTGATGATTTATAGACTAAATTTTAAAACAATTTGATCTTTGTGCCATTTTATTACACACACACGAGTATTGATATTATTTATGTATTAATATTAGTTATTGCAAGAAATAAGTGAATGTATTTTTATATATCAAAAAAATATTGTGATATAAGGAAATACAATTATTTAATATAAATTATTTGTATATAATTTTTTAATCCTTATTTATAAAAAGTATTTTATTAATTTTTTTTTCATTTAAAAAACATGTACAATTATTAATCTTATTCCATGTTTGTTTAAATTATTTTGTATGTTAAATATAAATACATTAAATATACAATTATTGGTCTTATTATTAATTTTATTCTATATTTGTTTGTTTTAGATTATCTTGTATCTCATTTAAGACTGAATCCTGCTTTTTTTTAGCATTTTGCGAATATAAAACCACTGCTTTATTAACTCTCAAAACAGTTCTGTATCTTTCACTTATAGACGAGATTGATTCAGATATTTCCCCTAAAATATTGTACAATAAATTATATAAATTATTATATGAATAAATGCAATAATTATTTAAAATTATATACATAACCTCACTTTTATCTGATACATAATCAATTTAAATAATTTAATAAAGATAAAAAGTTTGCAAAATTTGTTTAAAAAAAAATATTTAATAATAATATGCAAAATATTATCAAATAAATAATTTTATTTATAAAAAACATTTACTTACTAATAGAAGATGTAATATCTGCTATAGTTGATTCTTTTGTAACTTTTTGACGTTTTATTAATTGTTCCATTGTAATATAATTACAATTTATTTTATTATGTTTTTTTTATAGTTATAGTTAAAATTAGAAGCAATACAACAAACAAAAATTCTTTTTTAGGAATGTATATAGCCAAATGGCGCGAAGAATACTAAATCAGTCGATCATATCTACTGGAATAATGTACGCACAAAACATATGAAATATTTAAATGTTATTTGAATTTGTTTTTAAAATTCATTTATGGATATGACAAGAAACATAAAATACAATTATAATTCGTTTTACAATAAAAATTTGCAATAAAAAATATTACCTGTTTGATTATCCTTGTACAGTAAAAATTATAAATATAAAATTTTTCTTTATTGTCTTATATCTTAAAGATCTCGAGACAATCTTTGTACTGAATGTGACATTTAACGGATTTCTTAAAAGATTTTTGTAAAATATTTACTTTCATGTCAATTATTTTTTGTATACAAAAAATGTTATCAACAATTGAGCTGATGCTATTGTATACTATATTTAACTGCCATCTGTTCGATAAAGTTGAAACATTGTACTTTCATTCACGTAGTATAGATGTCGCCACATACACGATACAAATAAAATAACATTCAAATTATTTTTTTTATAAAAATGAATTATTAATAAATTAAATATCAATAACTGTTAATGACATATCGCATTATTATAATCTATATACTGTTAGTGGTAAATCTTTTGATTTATTTCGTTTTAATATTTGCTATTACATATATAATTAACAAGAATTATAATTCTTTTTCAGTTATAATATTTCATTTCATCAAATAATTAATTTCATATACATTTCTCCAATTGGAAATCGAATTAATAAACTTTTTAACAAATAATCAATAAGACAATTTTATGATTAAAATTTTTAAAATTATATTGTGCGTACAAATTTTATTTTTATTTTATTTTTATCTATTTTTATCGCATATAATTTATTTATAATTTATAATTGATTGTATCAAGAAAGAAAATTCAATATATATATCATTTAATACAATATATTCATTAATTTCATGGAAACTGTGTATATTTCGATAATCCAAATAAATTAAATTTTACATAGTAAAAAGATAATAAAAGTATGAAGATAAATAGATCGATCGACGAATAGTGAGAATTATATTTTATCAAGATCGTGAAGATCGCGCGAACAATTTAACCAGAAAGAGCGCCACAGAGAAAAGCTCCGCGGGTAATGTTGTACATCGAGTTACATGTTCACGCGTATATTGGACGAAAGGAGAAAGAACTGAATCGAGTAGACGAGGCGCCGTTTTTTTTTGCGCCACCCGTTATAATTACTGGGGCCTTGTCACTTTTGCCAAGGCGCGGACCGCAGTGAAGTATCTCGTTCGTGCGTCGCCCCGTAGCATGGTCGACCTGCAAGGTTGGCGGCTACCTCAAAGCGATCGCTTCGCTTACTCAACGAGCAAGCAAAGGAAGTGCAAGAGTAAAAGAAGAAGAAAAAGATGAAAGATCAAAGACAGAAAACAAAGGCAACGGCCAACCTCCAAGTCGCTGTACGGGTGAGTGACTCGCGTCACGAAATTGTCTCAGTACGTGAATTTGCAAAGCGCGCGTAAATAACCTACGTTTATCGTTACTCTCATCAAGTTGCTTTGAAGAGAGAAAGATTGAATGAATAAGAAAATTAACGATCGCACAAAATAGATGATAAAATCACGATAAATAAAAGAAAATGAAGTAACGTTTAAAATGCAAAACAATATCACATCGATTATAAATTAGTACAAAAGTATCTTCCGATATAATTATATAGCTAGCTGTTGAAGGACATCTACATGTTGTTCGATGCAATTTAATCGTATACGCGATGCATGAATTCAATTTTTTGTTCACCGTTGAATGCGGCTTAATTGCATTCGGTAGCAAGAAGGATTTAAAATTCAAAGAGGAACAGTAGTGGGTCCGGAAAAAACCGGTACCTCGCCTACGTATTTTACGCCACTTTCTTGCGTGTACGCACGCGTGTATCACTGTCTCGCTTCATCGCGCTCTCTCGAGTTCTCCTCAAGGACTCTCGGGAAGGCCCATGTAGCCAGTAAGAGCTTCACGATCGTAACACGGTAGCCAACACGGTGGTAGGTTTAAATCATATTAAAGCGCATCCAAGCACCGGGAACCGTAAGCCTGGATTACTGCTACAAATCGTCCCGTACGGGGAATTCCGCGCGCCAAGTAATTCGATCGCTTTTCAAAGGTCCAGTCTAATCACATACTACCTGCCTTCGTTAATTCTAGATCGTACTTCTGCTTTTTTTTTTTTTCTTTCACTTACATCAAAGATGTTCGCCTAATGTTCCAATTTTCTACGTATCGTATATAAAGCAAATAAAAATACATCTTTTTACAGTTTTTATTTTGTTTAAACGATATTTTTATCATCCACTTTTTGATTTACGATCATCAACACCGTTAATAGAACTCATCCTATTACGAGAAATATGCGTATAATCAATAGTGCGATCTTTCTATCTATATCAACAAAGCAGAACAATACGAATGGCGCATGATAAAGTGTTCTCGTGGAAAGTTACGAAACAACGTGGGCAGCGACAGTAGAAAATGGCGTGGGTCGTGACGGTCTGAGACCAGGTGGAACGTGTTTATACAAGATACGACCTGATAAGACATTACCGAAGCTCGGCAGGAAGATATACTTATGCCAGACACGAAATGACCAATGGCCAAAACCATTGACATAGATTGACATCACATGAGTTTAATTTTCTAATATCTCAAGGATAAAGGATGAATCAATAGAGAATTCCGTTGGAAATTGAATCGATCAATTTCTTAGAGATAAACAGTTCGAATAGTAATAAATTGCGACAGAAGTTCCAAAGAAGGAACTGTCCTTGGAAATTATCAGCTGGGTTTTAAGACCCGCATCCAATACACGGGTCACGATTTTATTGCGTCTACGAGTGTGAATAGATCTATTGAAAACCTAGGCGTTCGTAAGTAGGTGATGCGAGATTGGGCGAGCATTCGTGACGAGCCATTGTGATTAGTTCCCTTCGGGATTCGGTTCGTGACTCGTGACGAAGATGAGAGAATACACGGCTTTCGTATTAATAATTTTTTATACGTATCAATTGTGATACAAATAACACATTTTTCTTATTTACACGCGATTATCGAAATCGTGACACGTATAATAATCGTGCGATTTGAGGGAAATACATATATACGAATCGGCAGTTAAAAGAGAAAAAATCGTGGATTCGTCAAGGTAGCTTTTACTTGATCAAAGCTACCAAAGGATCATACACGAATGTGCCATCAATTTCCCCTTACGTCGCAGAAATATTCCAACCCACTTTGCCACCGCCTTCTCTATCTTCTCTTTTCTCTCTTCTTCTGTTGCTTGCCGGGGCACCAGTAGCAATATTGTATCGCATCTCTTTCTCGCTGCTTTTTGTATCTCTTTTGTGTTCCCTGATGCACGTTCAGCTCCCGTTGTACCGATTGAGTGTTGACCCCGCTGCGTCACGCTCGCATGCTGCAGTTTGTTCGGAACGATACGCAATCAGCGACAGAAACGAATTTCGAGCGTGTCGTGCCACGGTTTACAACGCACAAGCGATTATTTTTTAAAATAATATTTTTCGATATCTTTTCTTCGAGAAAGGATGAAAGGATGAAATATAAAACAAGCGATTCTCTTCGTAACGCAAGAAAAAAATCAATCGTCTCGATACGGATCGAGGCTGAAAATGATTATTGTTGAACAATGCCAACGATAGATAACCGCTTCTGCGTACAGCATCGTATTTTTAGTCACGCGACTGCACGCTTCTTTGAGCGGTGGTTAATGCGTGCGTGCGAAGATGACCACGCGTGATGGCTTCTAACCTACACGATCCACTTTTCTTCGATCCGCAGAGACGGTCAAGAGGCTTTCGTCCTTCATCGGGATATTTCTTCAATTTTATTGGATATTTCATTCATCATTGTCCACCTGCGTGTTTTTTTTACGCACAGTAATCAAGTGGTAAATATCGAGTTCAGGGAATAAATTGAGTACGAAATTGGTAACGTAATTTACCTTCGAAGAATTTTTTATTTACACGCGATATACAAGTATACTTATATGGAATTGAAAGTAGGGTAAAAAAAACGAGAATCTTGATCGACATTCGTAAATTTTTTATTATTACGCGAATCTTTTTCCCGTTTCAAACATGAATCATACAAAAACAAATGAATCTTTTTGAATCTTTTCGATCGAAAATAAACTATCACCAAGATATAAATAATAAAAATCTAACCAAGATGATCATTTGAACAATGTTTACCTTTTATATAATAGAGAAAATTAAGAGAGGGAAACATGAAATGATCGAAT